TCAGGAAAAATCAGAGGGGAAAAAAAAAGAGATCAGCACCCATAACACACTGCATGCTACTCCTTCTGCAGCTATTCAGAGCCCGCACTTGGGAAAGACTTTATTTGTCAGCTCGTTTTACTTTTCCTTGATCGTCTACTTTCTTAATGGCTGCCTGGATAGCTTCTTGGTCACCCAGGAACTGGTGAGGCCCAACAGCATGCAGGTTCTCGTCCAGTTCCAGGAGAATGGGGACTCCAGTAGGAAGAGTAATGTTGATAATGTCTTCATCTGAGATACCTGAAAATGAAGAGAGGAAGGAACAAGGCATTAAAGACAATGCAGGAGGAAGCTCTGTTTAATTGTTTAAGTGCACATTTACTTAGTCCCATATTAACTGCATGTTTGGAACCACAACAGATACTGTGAGGGATTCCAGTTATGGTTGCCGGAAACCAAGGACTTCCCATAAGTTTAAAAAAAAAAAGCTAAGACAAAAATTCACATTACATCAAGTCTTTGGACAGTAAATACCTTTTGGGGGCAACCTGTTCTTGGTTGTCTTCTATCTAAATTTTAAAGGAGTGAAAGTTATTCTCTCCATAACTACATTTGTAGAACTGGTTTTCCACAGAAATCAATCTTGAAAAATCTGAAAGTGAATTAGGAAGGTTTTCTGGTTTTTTCCTTTTATACATTGTCCCCACCTTGGCTAAAATTAACCTCTGGATGTGGTTCAAGTGATTAGAAAGTTGCTGGTCTTCCAGCACTGAGCGAGCATGCAATGCCCTGGGCTAGATCCAGTCAAGGAGGAACACTTCCTAGATGTGTAGGAAGCACAGTCAAGGGGAATTAGGAAAGGACTGATTGGCAGGACTTGGGAACAGGACTTGTTCTCTTGTCATACCTTAACATCCCACCTGCTAGGAGAAGAAGGTATGTGTAATGGACAAATCACCTTCAATTCTTTTTTAAATAATCTGAATCATAGGTTGTTCAACTTTGACCAGAAGAGTTGGAGTTGTAGTAAGGGTAGTAGCAGCAGTGGTGGTAAGATGTTTATTATT